CCCCCAGCGGGGATCTGTGTGATATTCCTCGGACACTCCTGGCTCCCCGAGAACAAAGGAAAGGGGCTTAAGTGCTTGCCACGGTGATGTGGGAAACTAAGGCGAATGAAAAATGAGCTTCCCTTACTGCCCACAGCCCATTGACAAGTCCTTGAAACTGGCAGAGTGACCTCTAGGAGCTCAGCTGCCCCATGCTGACACTTTGCCGGGGGCGAAAGGGAATCTTGGCTTCAGGGTATCTTGACCCCCCAGGCTCCTCTAAGTTCCTTTAACATAGAAAAATTCCTTTGGAAACTTCCTTTATCTCCACTCCCCCAAGATACATGCTGGCAATCATACTCCAAGTTTATGGCCCCCACATATACATCTGAAGGGTCCCATACTATTTAGTTTTACTAAATAGTAATATGGCATTTCCATAGCAACAGCTAGCCCTTCAAGGTCCCAGCAACCTTGCTCCCCAAATACCTTCGAGACTAACTCTATCCCTGATCCCCTCCCAACCTGAAGGTATGTAATCAGTTACCCGTCACGACCCCAGTGCAGCTCTTCCTGCCCACGGATCCTGTCCCCGTCCTTTCATAAAATCACCATTGATTTTACTGACCATTGATTTTGAAGATCAAAGACGTCTTCAAGAATTCTTTCTTGGCTGTTGGCCCCGGACCACCCCACCTCACCCCAAAACTTCATCATACAGACCGTCCCCAACTTATGATTTTTTGACTTTTCGACTGTGCATTCAGTAGAAACTGTTCTTCAGATTTTGAATTTTGATTTTTTCCCCCCTGGATTCATTTATATGGGGTACAGTACCCCCAGGCTGGGCAGTGGCAGCGAGCTGTAGCTCCCAGTCAGCCCCATGATCACAGGGGTAAAAAACCTACTCACTTTCAACCATTCTGTACCCATATAACCATCTGCTTTTCCCTCTCAGTACAGTATACAATAAATTACATGAGATATTCAACATTTTATTATAAAAGAGGTCACGTTCCCGATCAAATGTTTACTTCTCAGAGACGTGCTGAGAACGATTGAACACCCTAACATCACACCGCATAGGGGCACCTGGGTGGCTCAGTCGGTTGAGTGTCCGGCTCCTGATTTCAGCTCAGGTCACGATCCCAGGCTTGTGGGATCTCGTATCGGGCTTTGCACTGAGTGTGGAACCTGCTTGAGATTCTCTCTGTCCCTCCCCCATGCCCTCTCTCTCAAAATAAAC